AAAGAAACGAAATAATGAGAAGGATTTAGGAAAAAATGTGATGATTTAATTTACCTCACAAAATTATTAAATTTTTACAAGCGCATTATCTATTGCTGCAAACTCATTTTCATTGGGGCCAAACAAAAGCAATAAAAATTATTGGTCATTAAAACGACAAACCCTAGTCGGAAAGTAATCACTCTAAAAACAGGGAAAAGCCAACTGAAAATGTACCCAAATCCGGTCGCATTTATTTGCGAAAAGGACGCCCAATGAGAATTTATCTTTCACAAATCTGCACGTGTAAATTTGGCGTAAGTGGGCGAAAGTGGCGTGCAGAAATTGAATATCGATTTGGCTAACACGCGCGGCGTGCGAACGTTGCTTTCGCATGATATATTTTTAAGTGGGTTAGCGAGATGGGGAGCTGGAATGCGGCGGCCCCGTCGTTTCTGCCGGGTGTCATCAACTGTTTGAAGAATAATGTATTTATTATTCTCTGTCATCGTGTTCTCCATCTCTCTCGCTCGCTCTCTCTCTCTCTCTCTCGCAGTGTTGGCCTTTTATACATTCAAATAACTCGTGCTTCGCTTTGTAATACGATGAGCGAGCATTAAAAAAAGACTCATCGCCGTCGCACATAAATTTGCTTTCTCGTAAAGTAGATGGCGAAGAGAATTTATTGATTCCGGCGCCGCAACGCTATTCACTATTTGATATGCAAACGAACCGGATATATAATATGAAAACTGATGGTGCTATATAAACCTTCTAAAAAACAGAAATTAGATTTAATATCAAAATGCGGCATCATTTCGCTCCGTAAAAGCTCAAAGGGGAGAGAGAAATAGGTCTTGGGAAAAAGGGGCAGTTTTGAATTAGAAAGGAGAGTTTTTTTTTATGAAAATGGTGTTTCAATTATCTATCCATGAAATATTTTTTTCATGCTTTATTTTTATTAAAATTTAAGTTTAACTGCCTAAAAAGATCAAATTCTATTTCAATTTTTGAAGTGGTTCATAAATTTTTTTGGTGTTAATTTTTATGATAGCAAAAAGTTATTCGTATTTTTAATTTCATATAAATTATTTTCAAAAAATAATTCATATTAAAACATAGAAATTTATAAATTAATTAATGGTTATTATAATTTAATTTCTGTATAATTGTTAAATTCAATACAGAATTTTAATTTTTGACGTAGGTTGCATGAATACCATGATAATTACTTTGATAAAAATTTATATCATTTTAAATTGTATTTTTAAATTATAAAAATTTAAACAAGAAGTGTTATTAAATCAAGGAATTAGGACATTTGGCTAGAAATAAATAAAATTAAATTACTTTTAAAAAATTTATTAATTTCTTTTGCAACTGGATTTCAAAAAGGCTTCAATTTGCCAACAATCAATTCAAACATCACATGCATTGATGGAAAATTCTTCCTCTGATGGAATTTGAACGGTACTAAAACGATGTAAAATGAATCGGTTGAAAAGATCCTAATTATTTAAAGTGCGGTTGAATGTGTCTTCCAAGAGAAAACTTTCTCCTAATGAGAATGGAAAGGACAGGTGGGTGGTCTTTTAGCGGCTTTGATCGAATTCCGCCACTCTTATACATATTTCATTGGGCGTGAGTCGCGGATTGAATCAGGCGCCGTTTAAACGGCGCCCATTATGCAGAAGGAAGGGAAGGAAAAATCGGCGGCGCGGCACCCTCAGCTTATTTTCTTTTTTTATATTATTTTTAACTCGGAGCTTCCTCAGACACAAAGCAACTCAAGGAGCGAGCGAGCGAGCGAAAGCCTCCCCGCCGCCTGTTTGCTGTGATTAATTATTCAGGCCCTCAAGCAAAGATGAAAACCTGCGCCCTCTCCACCTCCCAGGCGGCCCATCCACCCCCTACCCCTCCGCAATCAATTAATAATCCGTGAGAAGGCGTATCGGAATAATCCCTCACTTCGGAAGTAATACCACCGAGAGGAAGGATTAGGCGCGCGCCAAATGCAATGCAGAATCCCGTGGTCCGCGTTCCATTTCTTTCGCTTCTCTCCGGAAGGAAACTTTTATACGCTGAATATAATTATGATAAAGAGAGAACGAGCGCGCAAAAGGCATTTCCGCCCCTGCCAAGTGAGTGCCGGGTCTCATTTTATGCTTGTAAATTTTTGGCTACCTCGCCTCTCCGTCCCTCGAGACGCCAGCCAGCAGCAGGACCTGCATGGATAATTCTTACTTACGACCCAGAGATGAAACCCTCCCCTGGTTTTCACCCCGGCCGCGAGTGCATCGGCATCAATTCCTTTTTGCACGCGACACGTGATGAAATGATCGAACCGCGCTCTCGCTCTCTCTCTATATTATTATTTTTTAGAGGCCTCTTCTTTATTTAATTTCGCCTCATGCATTTTTAAGCTGCTGGCCTGCTTTCAATTCTGTGTAAGTTTTGCGCAATCTCCGTGAAATGACGCTAGGGTGATATTTGAGCTGGATTGAATTTGAAACGGAGATTGCAGAGTGACAAAGAGGGTTGGATTTTGGTGCGAATTCGATTATATTCCAAGGGGGAGCTGCACTCAAAATGGAGCGGAAAAAGTTGATAATAAGTTGGAAAATGTGCTGTCCAACCAGATCAAAATCTTTCCTTAACATAATCATAATATTAATAAGTGCGAAGCAATAATGAAATCATAAAATTATCACTATTTTGGTTCAAATTAAAGCGCAGTTAGACAATTGGAATAATAAAAAAATATATAAATAATTTACTGAGGAATTGTATATCTATATTTCTTTTTAGGTTTTTACTTCTCTGTTTTATTAGCGGATTCTATTCAAAATTGTGTTTTTGATCCCAAATAAGTATCATGCAATTCTGTTTTGGCAGTGATTTTAAGAAGTTGCAAATAATGATTATTGCTCACTTGCTCACTATCTTTTTTCTTATTGCTAGAGAAAAGGTGAGCACTCGAGAAGACGTTCATCAGATGAGTAGGGCAACAATATTTTAATATTTTTCAACAAGGTAAAAAGCCCAATTTTTCATCTTTCTCATGTTCGATCTAATCAGGGCCGCACATCTGGTCAATTGTAGTAGAGCCATCATTATGTAAATTGTTTCTCTTCCATTTTTCTGCCAGTCCTCATTTCATTGTAAGGGAAAAAAATTAATGTAAATTTACTAAAAATTATATTCTCTTTTCTAAATATAATTTCCTAGCTAAAAATATACTTTCTCTTTGTTGCGTAAAAATTGTTCCTTCATTGTCATTTTTGGGGGGCCAAATTACGCATTCTATAGAAAGTGTCGCGCTTTCATATTAATACAAAGAGATTCTCGCAGACCACCGACTGCGCTCGAATGTATACTCACTGCAGTAGTAGCGAGTCGCGTGGGCCACTTAAATTTGCAGGCATGTGATCTAATTTAGGCGAAGGGGTGTGTTAATTTCGACCACATGACGTCATCTGGTCCTTAACATTGTTGGCCGTATTACGAGGGCTAACAACAATGACCCTCGGCGCCCTCAAGCTTTGATATCTCGCCGTGCTCTCCTGACCCTCTCGTGTTAATCTGCATCCTTTCTTGGGCGGAAACTTGGGAGAGAAGGATTAGTCCGCGAAATCGCTCCTTTTACTACCGGCAGACCGAATTTTCAAGTGCGTTCGCTGAGAGAGAAAGAGAGATTGATTCCCGGTAATGGGTTGATTAAAAAGTTTGGCCATTACGACTCTCTGAAAAATGCAGCGGAGCGTTTTTTTTCTTTGAATCATCCACTTCCCGACATAATGCGGAGAGAGAGCGTATTTTGTGTTGAACGGGTCCAAGATTCTTTGCAAGAGAAAAAAGGAAATGGGGCTCGCAATTATTTGCAACGGCGGGTGTGTCTCCTGATGGAGTGAATGCACTTGCAAGGAATGACGGGGCTGCATTGTTCAGCTTACTCGGCTGCAGTAATTTACATTTATCTCTGTTTTTTTTCTCAGATGGAATTGTTTAAAAAGAAAGCCATCAATAATTATTAAAAAATATTAAGAAGGAAAATTTAATTCTCAATCAAAATGAAAATTAAAGAATTGCGTTAATTATTAGTTTAAAATTTTTTCAATATTGAATAGAAATGAAATAGATTTTTCTGATTTTTTTATTTTTAAAATTGGTTGTTAATATTTTTTTTATTTGCAATGCATCACTTTATGGTGCATCTTGGCACCAGTCGTTTTGTTGCTTTTTATTGGTGCGCGAAAGTAAGTTGAGCGGCATGCGGGGCATTTGCAAAAAAAGGAGGAAAAACAATAAAATGCAAGGAATGTTTTGCAAGCTACATCATTATTTTGCCGTAGCAGCGGCGGCTCGGGTAGTAATGGCTCTCTAGGAATTCCTTTGCATTAATGGCAAACGCTTGCTTGCTCTTGGCCGGGCTCTCTCTCGTCGGCGGCGGCCTGCAGAAGCATGTGGCGAGTGTAATAGGACGAGAGTTATTCATGTTATTGTTCCAGCAGCTAACGCGGCGAGCAGAGAGAAGAAGAAGAAGAGAAGCCGCCGAATAAGGAAAGAAAAGACGTGTGCAAATTGCTCCGGCGCGTGATAAAAAGATTAAAAAAGGCGTGCTGACATCTTATTTTTCACGGGGCAGCCTCTCGCTCTCATCCAGTTAAAATTTCAGCTCTATTACACGAGTTGGCCCCTTTTATATTTCATGGGCCACTGGGGGATTTCGAAACATTTCTCGCTGTATATAATGTACTAGTGCTCTGGACGGGGGTTGCTAGCTTGCCGGTGGTGGTGGTGGCTGCTGCCGCTGCTGCTCGCTGGTTATGATGCTTTACTGTATCAATATCGCGCGCGGCGCATACGGAAAGTCAGGGGAGGGAGGGTGGAGGATTTTGAGGGTCGGAGGCGGCGGCGGCAGCAGCAGCGGCGGCGGCGCGCGGGAGGGGGGTTGCTTTTCAGACTGCGCGGCGCTGCTGCTGGCGAGGCGCACCGCCGCCGACCGTATCACATTGGTGAATGCTTTGCCGAGTGGAAGTGAGTGCGGCAGTGTGTACGCGATAAAAATTACTTTTAATTGTGCACTTGCCATTGTTGGACCCGAGCAGCTCCACCTGCACCACGTCGCAGCACCGCGGGTGAGTAAAGAAGCCAGAATTGTCCAATTTCCTTGTCCGAGCGTTGAAAAATTTGGCGTCCAAAGCGTCTCACTGCATCGGCCTGTGCCGAATAAACAAGCTCCAAGCCGCAGAGTGCGGTGGTGCAGTGGATTGCACGGTGTAATGAATGATGATCGATATATACCTGTGCAAACAAATATCGAGAGTTGGCCGGGGGAGCTGATTGTGCTATAAATAAACCTGGTGGAAAACAGCTCGGAGATTATTCAGCGAGAAACTGGCGGAATAATTGACAAATCCCGCGCGCCAAGTCGAGCACGTATTTTAATTTCCCGACTAATGCGTTCGCCCTTTTTTTTTATATATCAGGACCGATTTGCAGACAGACGTGTATGTGTTTTAGTGTTTGGTTGACCCTTTTCTTGTTGTGCAGCTCGCTACTAACAGCGGCAAAAAGCCACCTTAATGCTCGTGCTTGTGCAATTTATTATCCTATAAATGGCCACCATAAATTGCAGATACGCCAATGGTCTGCGCCCTGCTTGATACACGCCCGCAGGCACACACCGTTAGGAAGACCTTTCTTTGTGTATACGTGTGCGTGGCCCGCGGCGGTCGGAATGCTACTTATTGTTTTTCATATCTGCCTCGACCGGGAGGGACGCTAACAAACACCTCTGCCGGCAACGACAACAGTTTGACCCTGCTTTTTGCAACTTTGAGCAATTGCACGGCTGCAATTCCAGGCATCCAGCCAGCTGGATACATAATTTAACACTTGAATTGAAATTTGGAGCCCGGCCAAGAGGGTGCATATGGCCAATCTGGCGTGATACTTAATTGCTCGGCACGCCACTTTGGATGCAAATTGAAAGCAAAAATGGCATTCCGGTGCAGCGGCAGCATACGTGTGTGCGGCTTTTAATGATTTCCAGTGCTGCAACCGAGCCAGATTGGTTTTTCATCATCGCTGGCACGTGATTTTAGCTCAACAAGCTTCTCTACTTAAGCCGGGCTGCGTTTAAAAGCCACTGCAGCTGCCGGAATGAACGCAAAAAATATTGCAAACTGCCGGGGCGTGTGCGAGTTTCTTTCTGCGAGGCACGAACTGAAATAACTTTCTGAAAAGTTGCCGCTGCATTACTGAAACTTGGCAAATTGCGTAAAAGTACAGCGCAGTCCCGGCATTGTGGTTCGCTCCGGAATATGAATTACTAGCAACTTTGCGCGCGAGGAATTAGCACGCCGGTGCTTGTGAAACATTCATACGGCAAATGCGAAAATGTGTTGAACTGCTTAATGTTCTCTGCGATTTTAATTAGTTTATTCATTTGCGACTACATTACGCGATGCAGCAGCGCAGATAGCTGGAAAGGAAGAAGTACAAAGTTTTTACCATTCGCTGCAGAGTTGATTAAGCAAGACCATCTGCTAAGCTAACAAAAAGAACTAAGTGGATCGCGCTCGGGTATAAATTTTCATGGACCTGTTAACGCGCCAGAGAGGGTAATCGATATTTTTACACGAGTGGCAAAAACTAATCTAACTTTATTTTGCATAAACAAGAGAGAGAGAGAGAGAGAAAGAGAGCCGTTTGTGTGTGAGAGAGAAAAAGGAGATATCAGGTCAATATTGACTCGAGCTAACAAGATGAAACCTGCTTTCGCTATTCCGGCCGCGATTCGCAATCTCGCACGCTAAATTTATTTGCCGTTCGGTGAAATGTATCAATTCTGCAGCCTGGAGCCTTTCCTTTGTCAATGAACCGCGCAATAATAATAAATAATATAAAAAAGAGCAGTGACAGTTTTGCATTAATATTACGTGGAGCATTGTGTGTGTCTGATGCAGCATTGAAAGCACGGATCTGGATCAATCGTTCAAAAGTTTCGCGCTGATGGGTCTGTCATACGGCAACCCTTTAATTTTTTATACCCAGACGCCGGCGGGCTTTTTTCTATTCCATGGTAGCGAGTGCTAATTCGGCCATTCAGCCACTGGGGGCGCTGCGGCGAGATAGGGCGCGCTGCAGCAGAGCACTCGCCCCTTCACTTCAAGCTTGCGATCTTACTAATTAGGTGTTTAGAGACAATTCTAACTGCTAATTGTAATTCTTATCAGTCGGATTTTTAAAAGATTTGCTTGTTATTCAAATATGTATAATTTATTGTTCCATTTTTCTGCGTTTTAGTGAGAGATGAGTTAAAATTTAGTTATTTTTTAATGGATTATACAGATAAAGAATAAAACTATTTATTTTAATTGACATAATTGATAGGGAAACTTTGTGGAAGCTCATCGAATATTTACCTCTCGTAATCAAAAACTGAATACTTCATATTTTTCCTTAAAAAATTCACATTTTTTTTTTTAATCTTTTAACCCAAAATTCTGGAAATTTTTTAGCAATCATTGCCATCTTTGCAATCATAGCTTTCATTGCAATCATTGCAAGCAATTGCAATCATTGCGATCATTGCGATCATTGCAATCATTGCGATCATTGCAATCATTGCGATCATTGCAATCATAGCTTTCATTGCAATCATAGCATACCCATCATTGAAATTATAGCGATCATAGCAATCATTGCCATCATAGCAATTATTGCCATCATAGGATTCATAGCAATCATTGCCATCTTTGCAATCATTGCGATCATTGCAATCTTTGCGATCATTGCAATCATTGCGATCATTGCATTCATTGCGATCATTGCAATCATTGCAATCATAGCTACCCATCATTGAAATTATAGCGATCATAGCAATCATTGCCATCATAGCAATTATTTCCATCATAGGATTCATGGCAATCATTGCCATCTTTGCAATCATTGCAATCTTTTCGATCATTGCAATCATTGCGATCATTGCGAATCATTGCAATCTTTGCAATCATAGCATACCCATCATTGAAATTATAGCGATCATAGCAATCATTGCCATCATAGCAATTATATCCATCATAGGACTCATGGCAATCATTGCCATCTTTGCAATCATTGCAATCTTTGCGATCATTGCAATCTTTTCGATCATTGCAATCTTTGCGATCATTGCAATCATTGCGATCATTGCAATCTTTGCAATCTTTGCAATCATAGCATACCCATCATTGAAATTCTAGCGATCATAGCAATCATTGCCATCATAGCAATTATTGCCATCATAGGATTCATGGCGATCATTGCAATCTTTGCGATCATTGCAATCATTGCGATCATTGCGATCAAGGAATGATTGCCCTATCTCGCCGCAGCGCCCCCAGTGGCTGAATGGCCGAATTAGCACTCGCTACCATGGAATAGAAAAAAGCCGCCGGCGGCGCGCGCGGCCGCCACGGTGTTTCGTTCAAAATGACAATGGAAAGAGAGAAAGCGTGTTGCAAAATATTCTCTCACACACAACGGCTGGGGACAACTCATGCGAAACGCTCAGCCCTCTCTCAACCTGTGTCGCCGTGAAAATTTTCAAGCACGATTGTGCCCTGATTTTATTTTTGGCTTTTTTCGAGCGTGGACAGGAATTTATCCGGCGTGGCAATGATTTGAAGCGCATCAATTTTTCCGCATACTTGCGTCAGGCAAGGCCTTTGCAACGCCGCTCGAAATACCCCTTGGCACTTCCGCGGACGCAATATGCTAAGTGGGCTCATCATTATTTTATTGCCTTTGTTTCGACTTCATGAGCACACACACATGTACGGGCGCCACTGTGTGTTGCCGAGGCCGACTGAAATGTGGGCCAGGTGCGGGAATCTATTGATTGATGCACAGCAATTTGGAAACGCGCTACCCTCGCGCGGACGTTTTGATTCACAGCTTGACATGCAGCGAGCCAATTTGGGCGTCAAAATCATTTCCCTTGTTAATGCACCCCGAGGAATTTTGAGGGATGCGTCCAGTTAATTTGACAGGGGTTGTTATTTGGTTTCTACATTGTGTAAAAAATAGTTGTGAAAACATGGGCTCTTTCGTGTTAGATAAAATAGTTTTCATAAAAAAACGGTCCTATACCAGTTTGCAAAGATTTTTTTCTATCAAGAAAGAAAAAAGATTGGGAATTACAATCTTAATTATTTATAGGAATTAAATTGAAATCAAGAGCTAGAAATAAAATTCATATTTATTGCAACACAATTAATCTTGGTCATAGATCTCAATATTTTTTTTTATAGAAAATGCAAATAATTCACAAAAATTAACACTCTGGATAACTACATTAAATAATTTTTATATGCAGGAAGATTAATTAGACAAAAACAATAAAAATAATCTTCTTATTAATCGTGCTGAATGCTAAAACCAAAATTTAGAGTGTAGACCTGACTTTTTACTCAGTTGAAGGTTTTTTGGCACTTTTTGAGCCGCTCTAGTCCTTCATAACCTTTGAAATTATTAATTTAAAAAAAATTATTTTAAATTAATACTTTTTTTCTACGATTTTCATAAACTCTCTACTTCGTTTGTTGCACAAAGCTCACATGACACTGAATTATTAATTACTTAAATTCTTTGAATGCTGGAAAAGTTGAATCCACGTTTTGACATCATCAAATGTCGAAGTGGAACTTAGAATTGCACGTACAGAGTCTCATTCTGTTCCATTCTTAATCCGTCATGCTTCTTCTTTCCAAACCACATTGGTCTTTTACTCTCTTTCTCGCGTGGGTGGTGCCGTCGTTCACTTCCTCTGCGATTTCTAGCCGCACAATGGCTGGCTAGATGGTATCGGGCCCGTCTTTCAGCGGGCCTCGGCTCCACTTGTTATACACATATATCATCCCGGGCGGTTTTGTGTGTAGGTATGTATATGTGTGTGTGTGTGGCTGTGTTTGCGCGAGGGGCAGTACATAAATATAAAAATATTGATTTCCAATGAGTGCCGTACGTTGATTAGGCTTTTGACAATAAGTGCTCTCGACAAATGTACAGCGTGCTTATTAAATTATTATTGCCATCCGTCCGCCCAGCCATCGAGTGAGAGAATGGGACGCTACTCGCTCGCATATCGACT